CCAAATCCAAGGAGATGATAGTCTCCCTCCCCCTGTGACTGGGCAGGCTTTGTGGGTGGAAGCAGGCAATGGGTTTGACTTTGACCAACTGGATCATATCTAAAGCCAGACTGAATTCTTTACAATTCCCTGAATCAGGAAGAATGACTGAGAGAACTGTGACTCTCTATTCCGCGTAAGAGAAATACTGGGCTCAGGTTGGAGGGAGCTGGTTACAACTTCCGATGGGCAGAACCAGAGCCAGAAACATGAATGCTACTGGAAAGTTAATTTGGCTAAATCTCAGGAAAGATGTTCTCCCAGTTAGAGCTGTCCAGCTGTGAAAATGTGGCTTCTGGAAGGCCTACACTCCATCTCCAGATGCAAGACTGTTAAGAGGCTGTAGCTCCACGGGCTTGGAGGGCTGCCCGTCCACAGATCTGGTGTCTCTCCTCTCCAGAGAAGTTCTGTCGAAAAGGCAGAACACTCCTGGCTCAGGAAAACCTCAAGGCTACCCCAGTTCTCCAAAATGGAGACTGTGCTCCCTCACTTCTGACCAAGAAATGTAGTTCTTTTAGACGCTACTCCTTGGGCTGGATGACTCAGAACAGCAGTTAAATGCACAGGCTCCCAGGTCAGCAGCCTCGGGGTTGAATCCAGACTCTGCCTCTTGGGAGTTGTGTCACCCAGATCAGTCTCTACCCTGAGCCTCAGTTTCCTCCTCGGGGAAATGGGGAAGCACCCACTCATCTACCCACCTTCAGCCAGCTCAGTGCCTGATGTGGACAGGGGTCCTCTTCCACACCCCCCACCCCCGTGCTTTGGTGCATCCTGTCTGTGGCCGGGAAGGCGCTTGTTGGTAAAATGATGCGTACAATGATTGGATCGCCTGAAACACCATCCTGGCCTGACCACATCCACATGATGTGTTCAAACACCGTGGTAAGGACCGAGGATGCTGGAGCTGCCGGGTTCACAGCCGTGCTCTGCCACCTGTGTGGCCCTGGACAAGTTCCTCAACGACTCTGTGCCCGTTTCTTCGTCTGTAAAGTCTGGTTGAGAGCAGTTCCTACTCTGTAAGCTCATTTTAAAAGGTGAATGAGATACTTGCGGGCGTCTGGTTTCTGTTCTACCTCCCGGACCCGTGTTCCTACCCCTCTCCTGTCTTGCTCAATTCCATCCAACCCCAGCAGTTTCCTTGGGGGTCAGACACACCAAGCTCCTTCCCACCCCAGGGCCTTTGCACCTGCTGCTCCCTCTGGGGGAATCACTCTCTTGGAAATCCACATGTCCCCTTACCTCGGGTCTTAGCTCAAAAGTCACCTCTCTCCCTAGACTGTCAGCTCCATGAGGGCCCTTGCTTCTGTGTCACTGCTGTGTCCCCTGCCCCTAACATGTTTGCTGAGTGTCAGCCCAAAGACATGTGTGTACCTGTTACTTTTAGGGGCGCAGTCAGTCCCTTTATAAACATGCTGCTCGGAATGAGTCCTTCCCCTTTAGGAAATGTTCCACCAAACCCAGGGGGGCCAAGCTCTCTTCCCCTCACATGGACCCACTTCCTCCCTCTCTCCCTGTGGCAGGGAGGAGGTGGTGGCGGCAGGGGGGGCGCGGGGGGGGGCGCGAGGGGGGGAGACTCAGATGCCAGCCCAGCTGGTGATCCTCTCCAGTGAGCCGGCACCCAGGCCTGCTCGAGCGAAGCGTGTGGATCTCTAAAGCAACCTCAAGAACGCCACGTGGGCCCCTAGAGTGAGAATGAGTCAGTTGGAACCAAACCTGAAATCTCAGAGGCATGGCCACTTGTTGGAAAGGCAAAGACATGCATGTTTAGACAGATCTGTGCGCCCAGAGCCAGGGACAAGCCACAGGCCAGGAAGTGGGGTCAGTGGGGTGGACAAGACCTTCCCTGTGGTTCCTTCCACCTGGCCCGTTCTTCCCCAGGCCTCTGCCCTGCAACTTCCTAAATGTCCCTCTTCACAGAGGCTGCCCCCCTAGTCCACCCTCCCCCTGCTTCCCTTTTTCTCCTGGTCCTGACGGGATACTGCAAGTCCCTGTTCTCCTGTGTGAAGTCTGGGGGCGCTGGGCAGGTCTCAGAATTCACAGTAACTCAAATTATAGAAAGGTCATCTGGTATAAAATCCCACCTGACATAACCACCCTGTCCCCCAGCCCCCCCCACCCCAGGCCATGGGTCCAGCACTCCCTGGATCGTTCACATTAATTCCTCTGCAGCGAGACACACAAGCATTCGAGTCAGGGATGATAAACAAACACACCGAAGTGCCTCGTGATTAGTTCAGCTCAGGTCTTGCTTCCCATCAAGTCATGGAAAAACTTTCAGTTTCCAGAGCCTGCAGATTTCAGCATTAGAAATAAGGGGGGGGGGGGTGGGTACATCTGCCTGTATTTGTTTGCTTGCATATTGCCTGTCTTCTCAATTAGAATTGAAACTCCAGGAAAGCAAAGACTTTGTCCACTGCTCTATCGGGAGCTCTTGGAACATACAGGTGCTTGATAAATAGTCGAAGAAATGAATGAGCAAGCCAGGGGCTAGGTATGGAGAAGTGATTGTCCTAAGAAGAGAAACAGCAATCGCTGAGCTGTGGGCAAGGTACCTATGAAAATTATCTCATGAACAACCCCCCTCCAAAATACCCATTTTAGTGACAAGCAAACTGAGGCTTAGAGAGGTTCAGCAACTTGCTCAAGATCACACAGATAGGAAATAGCAAGGTCTAAAATTGAACCCAGGGCCCTCCGCCCACCCCCCCGCCCCGGTCTGCAAACCTGGGCTCTTCTCTGCTTTGGGCTCAGAGAAGCAGTGACTTCCTGGAAGTCACACATCAGGGCCACGACCTGTCTGATGCGGGATGCTCTGGCCACTGCAAGACCCCTCAGTCTCCACTGGGCTTCTGGTCCACGCTCTTGCAAGGGCAAGTTCATATGATGTGCAGGCAAGCCACTGGCCTCTCTCTCTTTTTTTTTTAAGATTTTATTTATTTATTTGAGAGAGAGAGAATGAGAGATAGAGAGCATGAGAGGGAAGAGGGTCAGAGGGAGAAGCAGACTCCCTGCTGAGCAGGGAGCCCGATGCGGGACTTGATCCCAGGACTCCAGGATCATGACCTGAGCCAAAGGCAGTCGCTTAACCAACTGAGCCACCCAGGCGCCCGCCACTGGCCTCTCTTCTAGCCTAGCCAGGGGAATTCTGGCCAGAAGTGACCGGCCAGGTCTCTGACCATGAGGAATGCTCAGAAAGATGTCCCTCCTGCTAACACGAGCAAACTGGCACAATGGGGAGGAACGCAGGCTGGAAAGAAAAACAGATTCAAATCCCTCCCTGTCATTCCCAGATATAGTGCTTCTGCCAAGGCCACTGCACACATCCCTGGGTCTGTTTCCTCCCTGGCAAAAATGGGTACATTAAATCCCGTCCAATGGGGTTCATCTATTTACTTAACAAACACATAGTGCTCATTCCGTGCCAGGCACTGTCTGGACGCTTGACAGTTACTTGTTCATTTAATCATCACTATGGTGGTATAAAGTAGTCACTATCATTTCATAAATGGGGAGACTGAGGTCCTGAGAAATCAGTCAATTGTAAACCTAGCGTTTGAACCTGGGCAATCTGGCTCCAGAGTCCATGCTCTTAACCTCCAAGTGGTACTTCTTAATGGGCAAAAAGAGTCATGAACATTTGTTGTGACGTACTATGCATTGGAAATTCTGTCAAGTATCTTAAAAAACATGATGTCCTCAACCCTCATGAAAGTCCAACTTGACACATGTGAAGCACCCAGGGGGTGGGGGGAGGGCGGCGGGACGGCTTCTGTCCCTGCCTGGCTCCCAGGTACAATCAAAGGCAGCTGAGGGCAGTGGGCCACTTGACTCCAAACTCTGTCCTCGGTCCTGGGGGTAGAGGGGTAGGGACGTAGGGAGAGGAGGGGTCCAGGATAGGCTCTCCCGTCGCTTCTTTGACAGTGCATTTCAGCTCCGTTTCTAAATCAGAGCAGCAGGAAACTGACTGCCTCAGGGGACCACCTCCCTGCCCCGGCCTGACCTTTCTGCACCCCTGGGGTCGTGCTGTATAAGACACATCAGTTCCTGAGTCACTGCCCAGAATCTGGAAATCCTCAGGTCATCCCAGACCTGCTGGTAGCTGGGTGTGCGGTAACCAGGGTGACTGACTCACTAGCTGTTTTCCCTCCTTACACCTCTCCCATGGCCCCCCTCCAGATTTGGCTCTGGAGTTCCCCCGTGGAGCCCAGGAATCTGCACTGTGATTTTTGGGGGGCTCAGGCAAAGGTATAGTACACCAGGCCATGCTCCTCAGCACGGCATTCAAGGCCTTCCACAACATGGCCAGACCCACCTTCCCATCCATGTCTGGCTTCTCCCTCGTTCCCAGCACCACTGGAGCAATGCTCGGTAGGAGCCCAGTGGGTGCTAATGCATGAGCGGATGGCTAGGGCAGGCTGCCTCCCGTTCTACACCTCAGCATCCTCACCTGTAGCCATGGGGCAGGTGAACAGCGCTCCAGGGGCCTTTGCAGGACCTTGAATGCCCTGACTGTGGGGGGACACCCTAGACAAAGGTATACCTCACCCTCAGTCTCCCCATGGGACTTTAGGGTTTTAATAAAGGCACTGATGTCCCAGGAAATACCCATGCTTCTAAAAGGCCACCCTTAGGGGAGGAGCTACAGGGGTGGAACCTCACAGAGGGCTGGGGGAGAACAGAGGAGAGGCTAGGACTCCAGCAGGATCAGGGCTGGCCCGGGAGCCCTCAGCAAATCCCAACAGCAGGACTGAGTGTGCCTGGTCCTCAGTCTTGCCTGATCTAAGAAATCCAAATTGTGTGTGTGTGTGTGTGTGTGTGTGTGTGTGTGTGTGTGTGTGTGTGTGTTTTAAAATCCAGATTCCTGGATTTACTAAATCTGAACCTCATTGAAGGCAGCCTGGGAATCTGCCTTTTAATAAAATCCCCTGGATAATTTGTTTATGGGATAGTTTGACAAATACCGTGGACAGGTGGAAAACAGCAGGCTCTGGCGTCAGACTGCCGGCTTCGAATCCTGCCACACACTTTGCAGGCAGGAGTCACCTGGGGCAAACTAGCTCAACTGTCCGGGGCCTCAGTGTCCTCATCTGAAAAACGGACTGATCCACACATCGGACCGACCAAAACGGTTGTTTAGCGACTTAACTCAGAATACTTTCAAAGTTCCCGACAGAACCTGTACAAAATGAGTCCAGTAAATATTTGATCCCTATTATAATTAGGTCTATCCAATATTCAAATAAGGAGAGAAAGGGTCCACGGGACCCGGGTTCCCCAGACGCCTCCACCGAGTCACCAAGTTCAGTTTTCAGAACTCCCCCTCCCCTCGACCGTTGGTCCTCACCCACTTCCTGCTCTCGGGGCAGGGGGTGATCTCCGGGACCAGGGGGCTGCCTGGCCCGAACCCCGCCTGACTCCACGCTCGCGACGTCCTCGAGCCCCCGAGGGGCCGTCTCCCCTGGCGTCTCCCGGTCCGCGCGAGTCTGAGGGGGCGCGCCGGGGATCCCCGGCTCCGCGCGCCCGCTGCCCCCCCCCCCCCCCCCGCCCCCCCCCCCCCCCCCCGACCACCGGGCAGAGCCGGCCACCGCTCCAGGCGCGGGGAGGGGCGGGCTCCGGGCGGCCCCCGATGGGGTCGGGGTGGCCCCGGGGGTCCCCGCTGCCCCTGGTCCCGCCGGCGGCCGCGCCCCTCCCCGCGCCGATTCCCCGCTTACGCCCCGCGCGCGGGCCCCGCGTCCTACCTGCGCGCCCCGGGTCCATTCGCCGCGCCGGCGCCCGAGCGGGAAGTGGGGGACCCCCGGGCCGCCAGTCCTGCCCTTGCCGCGCGGGGCTTTCCTGAGCGCGCCAGCCGGCCCGCCCCGGCTTCCTGCGCCCCGCCCCGCCGCCGGCGCCGCCCTACGCCCCCGCCGCCCTCCCCGGCGCCCGGCCCCCGCCAGCGGCCCAGGCACCGCGCTCCGCGCCTTCTGCGGCCGGCCGCCGACCTCGCAGTGGGCGACCCCGACCACCCCCCCCGGCCCGCCCCCCTGGGCGGGCGGCCGCCCCCGCGGAGAACTCCGCAGTGCTTCTCCCTGGCTCGCGGAATAAAGTCCCAGCTCCTGCTGGGGCCTGCCGGACGGCCCCAGGCCCCCGGACGCGCTTTGCCAAAGGGCAGGTGCATCTGGGGCTGGGGCTGGGGGGGGGGGGGGCGGGGGGGGGGGGGGTGCTGTTGGGCAGCTCTCTTCCTTCTCCGCGTCCCAACAGCCTGGCTTCTGGCTTCTGCTAAGTGCCCGTGGGTGTTTTTCCTTCTAATGTTTACTGAGCGCCTACCATATGCTAGGCGCCACAAGAATTTAGATAGTGAAACAACCCTTATATCAATAATAGTACAATCTGGCAGGCTCTGCATGTAGTAACTCATTTCATCCTCACAACTACCTTATGAAGAAGCTATATTACTATCACTCATTTTTTTACAGATGGGGAAACTGAGGCACAGAGGGCCAACTTGCTGAGAATTACTTAGCAGGTGTGGGATTTGAAGCCAGGTGCCATAGACCATTAACCACTGGACACCAAAAAAGCCCCAGGGGAGCCAGACGGTGGGGAAGAACACTGAGGAATAAAGTATTTCCGGTAACGAGAGGTCCCAATGAAAAAGTAAAACAGGGGCGCCTGGGTGGCTCAGGCGTTAAGCGTCTGCCTTCGGCTCAGGTCATGGTCTCAGGGTCCTGGGATCGAGCCCCACATCCGGCTCCCTGCTCAGCGGGAAGCCTGCTTCTCCCTCTCCCACTCCCCCTGCTTGTGTTCCCTCTCTCGCTGTGTCTCTCTCTGTCAAATAAATAAAGTCTTTAAAAAAAAAAAAAAGTAAAACAGAGAGGGACCTATAAGGCCAGTGGGGCCGGTGGTTGAAAGGTTTCCCTGATGAGGAGATATTTGAGCTGATATTTGAGAGAATATAGGGGAATACTAATTTAGGGAGCGAAAATAGCATGTGCAAAGCCCTGGGGTGGCATGTTGGAGGAATTGTCTGAAGGCTAGCTTGGCTGGAGAGCCTTGAGGAGGGGAGAATGGGAGGAGGTGAAGTAAGAGATGTGCAGACTCAGGCTGGGTAGTGCTGGGGACCCAAAGAGTAATTGGACCCCATTTAGTCTCAAAGAGCTCCTGGTCTTAGAGTAGAGACAAGCTCCTCAGAGCCAAGGACAGCCCAGTGGGGTTGCTGTGGTTGGGGGGTGAGCCGGGGAAGCAGGAAGTAAGGGTTGGCTTCCTGGAGGAGGGGACACGGTACTTCCATTCTCTTTCATTATTCTTTATGCACTCACTCTTTCTTGGCCCTGTTGCCTAACCCTATGATAAGTGCTGAGGACACAGCTATGAAGATACAAAATAAACATGATCCTTGCTCTCTGACCTTATAACTCAAGTATGTGTCAGTAGACTGTAGAGAGTCTGGGAGTTGAGGATGGCTTCCTGGAGGAGGTGGCCTCTGATGGTCCCTCCACAAGTCAATGCGGGAGAGAGAGGGAGAAAAGGGAAGGGCATTCAGGCAGAGGGGATGGGGTGGGCAAATACCTGGAGGTGAGAAAGACTACAATTATTCAGTATCTATGCACTGATGCCTCCATGTGCCAGGCCCTGAGCTGGGAGGTGGGGAGAGTGAGAAATACAGACCCATCTCCCGCTTTCCTAGCCCTGGGGGGTCTGGCTCGGGGCCTGACAAATAAGAACCACAAGCAGTTGGGTGTAATGAGCACTGGAGGGGGGCAGCCCAGGCAGACAGGCAGAGAGGCCTCAGCAAGGACAGGAAGCTTGGCCAGACAAGCTGAGAATTCCAACAGGTCAGATGGGGATTCTGCATTTCACATGAATTCCATGAAGAGCAACCCGGGCAGCTGTAGACATTGCCTTCACTGAGGAATGTTTGATCCTGCCTGGAAAAGCTTGCACACATAGCTTGCACACACATTCACACCCATCCTTGCAACCACTCACTCACATTCCCCAAACACGTTCAGTCATGGACTCACTCATCCACACACACACACCCCTGCACACATTCATACTCATCCACGCTCACTCATTCACCCATATGTTAGCATTGACTTACACTCATCCACACACTCCACGCGTTCACACTGATGCACACTCACAGCACCACACACATTCACACCCACACACAGGGACTCAAACTCATACACAGCTGACCCTTGAACACCAGAGCGGGGGTCAGGGGCGCCAACCCCCAGGCAGTGGAAAATCCACGTATAATTTTTGACTCCCCAAATACCTAACTACTAATAGCCTACTGTTGATGGGAAGCTTACCGTTATGTGTAATCAACATAAACAGTAGATTAGCCCATATTTTGCATATCAACGTATTATATACTGTATTTTTAGAATAAAGTAAGCTAGAGATGCCTGGGTGGCTCAGTCGATGAAGCGTCTGGCTTTTGATTTCGGCTCAGGTCATGATCTCAGGGTCGTGAGATGGAGCACCAAGTCGGGCTCCCCACTTGGCATGGAGTCTGCTTTCCCCCTTGCTTCTCTCCCCCACCTCCTCACTTGCACTCATGTGTGCTCTCTATCTCAAAATAAATGAGCGCGCGAGAGAGCACACATGCATAATGACTTGTATCCATCAATATAGCAATGTGAACCCTGGAAGCCATCAATCTGTTTACTGTCCCTACGGTTTTCCCTTTTTCAGAATGTTACACAGGTGGACGAAGCCTGCATATAGTCTCTTAAGACTGGTTTCTTTCACTTAGCAATATGATTTTAGGATTCCTCCATGTCCTTTTGTTGTTGATCGCTTTTTTTTTAGTGCTGAATTCCATCATCTGGATATACCATCGTTTATTCGTTCACCCATTCCAGGACCCCTCAATTGCTTTCAGTCTGAGGCAATTAGGAATAAAGCTGCTATAAGCACTTGTGTGCAAGTTTTGCTTGGGCATACTTTCAACTCCTTTGGGTAAATACTGAGGAATGCAATTGCTGGATCATATGGTCAGAGAACACTTCGTTTCGTAAAAAACTTTCAAACACTCTTCCAAAGTCTACCCTTTTGCACACCCCCCCACCCCCAGCAACCAACGAGAGTTCCTGCTTGTTTGCTGTCTTACCAGAACTGGTGTCATCAGTATTTTTGGACTAGCTCTTAGCTAGTCTGGTAGGTGTGTAATGGTGTATATCAATGTAATTTTAATTTGCAGTTCCCTAAAGGACATATTATGTTGAACATCTTTTTACATGTTTCTTTGCCGTCTCTTAGGTTACTGATTGCAGATTCTATTCAAATGCTATAGATTTTCCTCTAGGGCACCTGGGTGGCTCAGTTGGTTGGGTGACTGCCTTCGGCTCAGGTCATGATCCTGGAGTCCCGGGATCGAGTCCCACATCGGGCTCCCTGCTCGGCGGGGAGTCTGCTTCTCCCTCTGACCCTCTTCCCTCTCGTGCTCTCTATCTCTCATTCTCTCTCAAATAAATAAATAAAGTCTTAAAAAAAAAAGATTTTCCTCTAGGCACTTCTTTTACCATACCTCACAAATTTTGACAAGTTATGTTTTTATTTTGTTTATTTAAAAATATGTGTTAAAATTCCCCTGTGATTTCTTCTTATTCTATGTGTTATTTAGAAGTGTGCTTTTCATTCTCCAAATATTTTGGGATTTTCCATCTCTCTTTCTATTTTTTTAAGGGGGGGAGGGGCAGAGGGAGAAGGAGAGAAAGAATCCTAAGCAGGCTCTATGCCCAGCGTGGAGCCCGACAAGGGGCTCGATCTCGATCTCACGACTCTGAGATCATGACCTAAGCCGAAATCAAGAGTCGGATGCTTAACCAACTGAGCCACCCAGTTGCCCCAATCTCTTTCTATTTCTGATTTCTAATTTACTTCTGTTGTAGACTAAGTGTATACTTTATGTGATTTCTAATCTTTTAAATTTGTTGAAGTTTGTTTTATGGTCCAGAATGTGGTCTGTCTTGATGAATGTTCCATGTGAAGTGTTCTGTGAGTGTCAGTTAGATCCAGTTGATTGATAGCACTGTTTGGTTTAGCTATATACTTACTGATTTTAAGCCATATACTTACTTCTTGCTTGCCTGGTTTTGACAAGATGTCTGTTTCTTTATAGATAAGGATTTTTTCCCCCTTACTAGCTCCTTTTCAGATTTTTTCTTTGCCTTTGGTGT